ATCAAATCGATCTGGGTGAAATAAGCGATCCATTGTTGCTAGAAGATTGTGATGAGCTCGATTGATTGAGAGACGAATGAGAGAAAGAAAACGAACCACCGGAAACGAGACTTAAATCTTCTAACAACGTAGGTACGTCGGCTACAATGGAAAGATAAAAAATCTACATTACCGGTAAACGGTGGTGCCGTGGTGTAAAGATCAGCAGTATAACAAAATCACCACAGTAAATCACCATCGTTTTCTGAGGTTACCTTTTCAATGGAGACTGCCAAATTCTTCACAACGCTGGACTCAAATTGACCACATCGCCATCAGCCACCGCTGGCGAGGATCCATTGGAGACTGCCGTTCCTACTGGTCAAAACCTTTGGACACGGACCATGCTCTGCTTCGAGCGAGATTCTCCCTGCGTCTACTAAACAATCGCAGAACAGCCACCGAAAACGGATACCCACGATACGGTTTCAGCAATAGTTGCAGATCCAAACTATCAGATCGCCTTTCCGATCAAGCATCAACCGAAGGAATCAACGAACACTGGAAGCAAATCAAGGAAGCTATGCAAATATCGATAAAAACGTCAAACCCTGCCGCAAGCTCAAAACGGAGATGATGGATCTCATCGACCTCGGCTACCCTGCTGGACGCCCGCAGAACCCTCCCTCCCCCAATGCCATGTATGACTCATCGCGCAAATCCCTTGAACGCCAACTCATCAAGAGTCTGACCGCGAGAAGTGGTGGGTGGGAAAGTGTATAGATCTAGGAGAGACTGCGGCTATTGGTAATAGTCGAAATTTTTTCCGTCTGATTAGGATTACGAGCCCCCTAGAAAACTAGGCCTAAGTGACGTAATTAAGGAATCCGATGACACTGATTCTCCATGAGCAACGCCGTCTTGGCCGCTGGGCTGAACATTTCGAGGCTCAGTTAAACTGGCCCCCATCGACATCTGAACTATCACCCTCCACCTCGACTGGGGGAATACTACTGTTTGATGCTAGTCCTCCATCTGAAATGGAGTTTTCCCGAGGAATAAGCTACCTCAGAAGGTATAAGGTCTCTGACCGAACAAATCATAATACAATAGTCTTTGTAAGAAAGAGAAAGTTCCATGAGTTGTTTATGTACGAAATATTTTCAGGTTGCCCAGGCCAAGGCGAGTGAGTTTTCTTGGGGAATCCACAATCGGATCCCTTGAACTAGTCGAAGTCTGACCCGCAAGGCAGCAGGGCAGTATGTGAAAACCGCAATCCATTGGGGGTCGGTGTCCAGTTCATCCTATCACACGCACTCTGGGCGGGGTCAAACGTCCAGGGTGCCCAATATACCTCGATGTCCAATAGAGTCGGCGACCACTGCCACATCCAGCAAGGGTGGGTGATTGTGGTTTGTACCCCTTTTCTTGGTTGGCTTTGAATCAGGGTTTTTAGCCAAATCCCCTAAGCGAACTGCCAGTAGTTTACCAAACCGGTTGTAGCTCCGAATGTTGGCTTTTCGTCCTCTCAGTTTGGTGGGAAAACGCCTCCGCCAAGAAAAGACAGTGACTATGGCTTCCTGAGCAGAAGTTTTTGAGACGCTTGGTCGTGTAGGGCCATTTCATGAGATGCCATCCAAGACACCAACCCCCGACTTTCGGAGGTATCACTCTAACCGGGGAAGTAAAAGAGGAAGCGGATAAATTTTGTTATTTGGGCAGCTACATCTTACCCGGTGGGCGCATCACAGATGAAGTGTCAGCTCGCATACAGAAGGCTCGGTTGGCATTTGCGAACCTGAGACATCGGTGTCGCCGTCGCGACATCCGGCTGTCTGTTAAGGGTTTAGTGTATGTTGCGGCAGTTCGGTCAGTGTCGCTATACGGCGCAGAAAGTTGGCCATTAAGAAAACAGGACAAAGATAGACTGTCGGTGTTGGAACACCGCTGTGTACGCAGCATTGCACGAATCTGGTGGGGCAGCCGGACGAGCAATGCTGAGGTTAGGTGTATAGTTTTAGGTAAATGCGGTCGCCCACTGGAGCAAGTGGTCAACCTCCATAGATTACGTTGGTTGAGGGTATGTGTTACGCATGTCACCAGATAGGTTGCCACGGCGAGCCATGTTCGCGGAGGCAGGTAGTGGGTGGAAGAAAGTCAGGGGTGGTCAAGCTAAGGCCTGGCACGAGGGTATGAAAATCCTAACCGGGAGTCTGGGCCACAATGGTCCGGTTAGGCTCCCTGAATGGGGCTCTCGGGATGATCGTACTCGATGTGGTTGTGTCGTAAACAGTGGCGTTCGTGCATCTTCCCAATTCCTCTGCAACATTAGCTCTCCTAAATTCTCCATTTTCTCTTCGACTCTACTTTCTTCCTAGTGTCTATCCCAGTGGGTAGCCAAAAGGCAGCAACCAAAACCGGCGCACGATAACGCTATCCTTCGCACCAAACCCTCTCCTTTTACCCCTTCTTCCAACCCACAACATTCCCTCATACAATTTGTTCATCACTTGTCAAAGTTCGTCGCCAAGCAGCCCGGTACGTAGTTTATCACAAAATAGGTTGCAGATTCTGAAGCCATGTCGAACACTGAATCTGGGAGCCTTCAACGTGAGGGCTCTGGCGCGCACAAGGGACTCTTTATGGATTGATGTCTACTGCATATCGGAGACACGAATCCAGGATTCTATTAATATAAGCCACTTAAGTGCACCGGGGTTGTCTTCGAGGTTCTTCCTCCGCACGTCAGATGATGACGAATCCCGTTCAGTAGGCCGGCGTGGTGGGCATTGTACTCAACAATATCGCCGAAGCCGCACTACTCGACTGGATTCCCGTCAACAGTCGCTTATGTGCGATGCATCTTCGGGGTTCAATCAGCGTCCGGGAGGGAAGCAACACCAAAAGGTGTTTGTTCATCTTTTCAACGTATACACCCACCAAATGAAGTTCTGACGCACAAAAACACGAGTTCTATGATAAATTCGGCTGAGCCGAAGCTCCGATACAGTTATTCTCGCAGGTGATTTTAACGCGCAAGTTGGAAAACTGAGCGCATCGGAAGCTTGCCTAGGCGGTCTTTGTGCTCTGCCGTGCGAGCGAATAGATAGCGACGATCGACTTCTTCAGTTCTGCGCAGATCGACATGTTCCTATCCAGTACCTACTTCCAACACAGCTCTCAACGGACAGCAACTGGTACGCTAACTCAGATCGACCACATAGCAGTAAGCTACCGTTGGCGTGGCTCAGCACAAAACTGCAGACCCTATTGGACCACTTGCGTTGAATCTGATCGTGCATGA